TGTATAACATTCTTCTTTTATGTCCTTTCATGGTCTGTATATTTCTTTCCACTCTTCTGACATTTTTTCCAATCTGGTGTTTCTTTTCCTAAACTGTTTTCTGTAGTGTTCTGCTACTTTTTTTCTAACTTCTTCTGGTTTTGTTAACAAACTTGTTTCTTCTTCATTTTGCTTGATGAATCTGTCGAGTACTATCTTCTTGTATAGCCTATTCAGTAAACTTGCTATCATCTTTCCTTGGTTTGTTTTGATCATTTTATATCTTTTATCTATGTTTTCTTCTATTTGCCTTCTTTGTACTTGTTTCCATTCTTTTTTTTTCCTTTCTTGTAATAATTTTTTTCAACCCTTTATATCTTCTATCCATGTGCTGACCATTGCCTCTGCAATTTTGGTAGTTTTGCATCTATTTTTTTGCTTATTTCTTTTAATTGTTCATTTATTTTGTTTCCTTCTTCTTCTGTTACTTTTTGGTTCTTTTTTGTCTTTGTGTCTTTGATTAGCCTTTGTATTTTAACCAAGTTTTTTTCTAGTTGCTGTTCTTTTTTATTTCTTCTATTCATTAATATATTGTATATTTTCTTCTTGGATATATGCTTGCTTGCTGCTATAATAATTGCTTCTTCTATTACATCCCAAATATTATTTATTTTGTTTATTCTTTTGTCTTCATCTTGTTCTTTCTTTCAGATGTTCTTCAGTGTTTCTTTAACTTCTAGTCAATTTTGTAACTCTTGTGCATAGTTTTCCCAATCCTCTGTTCTTGTTTGATCAAATAAATATAATGTTCTTGACTGCTTCTTTCTCTTAACTTCTGCTTCGTTTTTTTCTGCTATTATATGTTTAATCTATATTTTTGCTTTTACTATTTTGTGATCACTTTCTGTAATATTCTTTGCTTCTTCAACTTCTGCTTTTTGCAACCCAGTTGCTAGACTGTCTGATATTCATATATAGTCAATTCTTGTTGCTGCTTCTTCACTTGACCATGTGTATTGTTGTTTAGTTTGATGCATATCTCTATATGTATTACTAAAATCCTGTTTTTTTATCCAGTTAAAGATTGGCAGTCCTTTGTAGTTTGCTGATTGTAGATGTTTTCTGTCTAGTATGTTGTTTTCTGTATGATTAAAGTCACCCATTATGACTATTTGTATTCATCTTTTCCTTTTTAAGACTGTTTCTGCAATTTTTTGTTGGATGCTTTTTCCTATTATTTTATCATTTGGTAGTATATAGACCAAGATTATTACTAACTCTAATTGCTTAAAATATAGTATAACTTCCATCATGTATTCACTTATTCTCTTAACTGCACCTATATGTTTTTCCTATCATTTATCTACCAAAATTCCAATGCCTGATCCTTTTTTCTTATCTTCTGCTGCATTTACCCAATGTCCTATATACTTATTGCTTGCAGTATATGTCAAAAACTTTTCTTCTCTTTCTGTAAGGTTTGTTTCAGTAATTCTCAGTATTGCAATTTCTTCTTCTTCTGCCCAGCCCAGCAGGTTTCCGAGTTTCCATTCTTTAGTTTTAAGTCTATTAACATTATGATATACAATTTTGATTTCTTTCCTTCCTTCTTTCTACTTTTCTTTTAGATTTCCTTGAATCTCTTTCTTCTTTGTTTTGTTTTCTTTCTTTTCCTTATTTCCTCTTTCTTTTAGATTAGAAGATCTTTCCTTTCTTCTTTCTTCAAATATTCTTCTTTTACCTTGCAAAAAATCTTCGATCTTCTTATCTATATGCATTGGTTCAACTAGTGCACCCTTAGGAGTGATTAGCCAGAACTGCCTAGCCTTGTTAAGTTTCTAATTTTTCTAATCTTTCTAATATTTTCTGAAGAACATTGTGCATCTGTGGCTTTGTTTTTCTGATTTTACTTTTTTTTTTTTTGTAACTATTGTGACATTTGTTGTTTTCCTTTTTTTGTTTGTTACTATTACTGCTTTTGTGTATTTCTGCCTCTGAGTCTTCAGTAACATCTTCCATATTAATATATTTAACATTAACATTTTTACTCTTGTTTATATATTTGTCTTTTCCTTTCTTGTGGCCTTGCCAGAAAAGTAAATAGTTGTTGAATCTTATCGGCTTTGTTTGTGCTGCTTCCATTTCTTCTACTGATACAAATATAATTGTGGCTAATTTTCTCTGATTTTCATTTCTATTAGGTAGTATGTATACTGATATTGCATCTTTTTTCTTTAAACACTGTAATAGTAATACTTCTGATGCATGTCCTGGAAGTTCTACCAACCTAGTTGTGAACTGGTTTGGTAGATTATGCCAATTAAAGTCTTCTTCACCTAATGTTACTCTTGCTAATTTGTGTATTCCTATTGGCAGTAACTATGGGATACTTTCTTTATCTATTTTTTTTGTCTTGATTATTGCAAGTGCTTTGTATTTGGATTTTTTAATGTATTTTACTTGGGCTTCTTTAATACTTCTGCACATATAATCTACTTCTTCTATGTTAATATTAGCTGGCAGATCTCATATCGTTAGCAGTGATCCTATTTCTGGTTTATTTTCTATTTTATAAGTTTCTTTATCATTTTCCTCTTCCTTCTGTCTCTTAGTATTTTTGAGTCTTTTCTCTTCTTTTTTCTTGTCTTTGCGTACTTGTTGACTTTGCTTTCTATCTTAAGTTTCTTGTTCCTCTGGAATAATTTTAAGCTATTCATCTTTTTTTTCTTTAATTCTCTCTATTGCTGCATCTCTGCTAAATTCACAGTCAAAGTTCACCTCTACCCAACTATTACCATTCTTGAAAACTTCATGAATTGTTTTAATATGATGATTTTCTCAAAAAATCCATTGAGTGTATTTTACTCTCTCTTTTTTGTTTTCTTCTGGTACTAAGTATATTGGTATGTTTGCTTTAAATGATCTGCTCTTGTCACATATATGGTTTTTTGGTGACTACTGACTTTGTTCTATTGTGTCTGTTATTTTTGGAATTTTTTGCCTCTTTTCTTCAACTTTTAGTTCAGCAATTTTTCTGTCTATTTCTTTGATGTCTTCTTTAAGTTTATATATTCTACCATCAATTGAAAAATCGTGCCCTTCTTAATCTGTTTTTTCTTTATTGTAGTTTCTACTTCTTACTATATTCTGTAGTTTTCTTTCAGTTATATTTTGGGAACTTTCAAGATTTGGTTATTGTATAGTTAAGATGCTTAGGTCTTTCATTTGTCCTATAACTCCTTGTAAATCTTGGATTATTTCCTTCTCTTCATTATTGTCTTCTTTATTCTTCTTCTCTATAGTTAGTGCTATTTTTGTTTCTTTAATTTCTTTTGTCTTTTCTGTTCTCTCTGGTTTAACTCTTTCCTTGGACATTTCTCTCTCATTTGTACTTTCTTGATAGTTGAATGACCCTGGGTTTACATCTATTGTTACTAATTTTGTTGCCCATTCTTCTACGATACTATGTGATACAGTGCATACTGCTGCTATTTTAAGTGCTTCTAAAATTTGGCCATATCGAAGTAGGTCATCTGATGTTATATTTTTTGGATCATAGACCACTAGGTCTCTTGCTATATACTCTAAGTTGTTTGGCTTATTTATCGGCTTTGACAGGATTAAATCTAGTATTTTGTTATCTATATATCTCCTTTTTCTATTACTGAAGCCTCTAATATGTTGTATTAGGCTTGTGCTATATGGTAGTCCCAATCTTATTTGTACTTCTGTTTCTAGACTTTTCTGATGTTTATCTATCTGCTTGCTACACATGCTGTACTTACTTGTTGTTTTCTAATTGGGCTGATTATTGTTGTTCCTTGTTGTTATTTGGTATAACATGACGTATTGCTTTGGTTTTGTTTATTTTGTATACTGATCATATGCTTCTGATTTGTTTTTCTGGGTCAAACACTGTTTTTTAATTTTTCCCCAAAAATTTTCTAAAAGTTTTGAAAACCAACAACAGTTTTGTTTGATCAAGCTTTACTTATATTGTTGTTAAGACAAAGTAGTTGTATTTTGTTTGCTGAATCTTTTTTCTTAGTAGTCCAAGTAAAGTTTGTCAGACCATTTTTACATTTTTCTATGTATTTGCTTTTAGCCTTATTTGAAAATTTAGGATCAATAGAAAGAGTCAATTACTGTTTTTGAAGTAATATAGTAAGTTACAATTATAATGCTATAATTTACTATACTATTTTACTATAGTTATGACAATGTGATGCAATGTAATGACTATCATTAGGATGACTTTACCATGTGAATTTTTTTATTTGAAACTTTTTGAATAATTGTTACAGCCAATTAGAAATGGCAGAAAAATTAGTAATCGATATAAAAAATCATCAAACTAACTATGTTGATCAATTACATAATTAAAGAATAAGCTATAATGCTATAATGAGGTATTACAAAATAAGCTATAGAATAAGCTTACAGAATAAGCTATAGAATAAGCTATAATGATGTATTACAGAATAAACTATAGAATAAGCTATGATGATGTATTACTATGATGATATATTACTATGATAATGTTATGCATAAAAAAAGTCTAAGTCTAATGTTTAATAATATCATATACACGTATACCCAAAAATAAGTAATACAGTTATATAAACTTATCATTATATAATTAAGTTAATTTATAATATATATAAAATTAATCGTTCGTTAGTTATAAATATAATATAAATACAGTATATCAGATACCTTTTTTTAAAAAGACAAGCATGAAATCCTTAAAAGAATTTTTTTATAAAGTTATTTTCTATGAAAAACCTAGAGATATTCTGCTAAATATTGATATAAAAAAAAAGACATTTGTATGATTTGTAAGAGTGTTATTGATCTAAGTCTTAAAGACTCAATTACAATTTTAAGCTGTAAACATTTTTACCATAAAGAATGCATTAGTGATACATGTTCACTATGTCAAGAACAAACTAATAGGATTGAAAATGCATCGATTTATTGTCAAGAAAATAGCTGTTTTATTAACTTATTATTGAATTTAGAACATGTTAACATTTTTATTTCACTTACTAAATTTACTGAACCTATGTTTACTGAATCCATTGAATCTACTGAACCTATATTTACTAAATCTACTAAACTCACATTTACTAAATCCACTAAACCCACATTTACTAAATCCACTAAATCAACCAAACTTATTGAATCTATCGAATCTACAGAATCAAATGGTATGCTTGTTAAATTCACTGAACTTACCACCTCTTTTATATCAGTTAAATATACTAAATTTATTGCTTTTGTAGATTCTATAGATTTTATTTTTGCATCTATTAAGTTAATTAAATATGCTGAGGCATCTAAGCCTACTAAATTTAAAACAACCAAATCAAAAACAATATCTAAAAAAACACAAATAATTTAGTTATTAAGAAAACTAAACACACCTGTTAAGAAAGAATATGAAAATAATAGCAATAACAACAATAATATTAACATTAATAACAATAATAATAACAGTAATAATGTACTACTATTAATTCAACTTTATACAAATATAATTTGTACTGAAAGTGATGCAAATAAGACAAATCAAATAGTAATTAGGAGTTGGTATGAATTTGTAGATGAGCTTAATAAACAGATTAATCAAACATTAAGGAATCAAAAAAAATCTAAACATAGAAGTTCTAAAAAATTAGCAATATCTGAAGTATATGATAAACTTTTAAACTATTTCACAGATATGATTCGTATTGCTTTAAGAAAAAGGATAAAAAGATAAATAAGGTTTATACCTTATTTAAAGGAATAGGTATCAATAAAATTGAAAGAGTTAGTACTTTTAGTGCTAACAAAATTTCAGAATTTAATATATCATAAATTGAATATATTATTAAAAATGTAACTATGTAATTTTAATTTGATTAATTACAAAATGTCTAGTAATTAATTGCTTATATAAATTTGTTATATTTTGGTAAAGTTAATTTTAATTTTAAACCTTTAGATTTTTATATAATAAATTTTAAAACCTAATTCTCAATATTTTGTATAATATAAAAAATAAAATATATTAATAAAAAGTTAATTTATATTGAACTAATAGATTATATATATAGTATCAGATGCTTATAATAGTGATAGGCCACATGTAGAAGTTGAAACTGATTTTATAATTCAGGTTTATTATATGAATTTTGTGATCTTTTGGAATTTGTTCAATTAAATTTTAATAAATTCCAAAATATCACAAAATTTATATAATAAATCTGAATTATTAAAACCAAATCCAACCTTTAGCCATGCATATAGAACTAACAATGCCAGTCTAAAAAATTTTACTATTATGTGATCCTATTAGAAAAAATTTTGCTAAAAAACATTTACTCTTAAGTTAGGTCACTAGTGAGTTAGTTAGGTCAAAGAACTATAATTATACTAAAATTTTGTAAAAAAAAAAACTTTTTTTATTAGTATGCAGAAGGCAGTTGCATAAGCAAAATGTTGAGTTATAGATGATTTTTAACTTATTTTATTTTTCATATTGCACCTGATTTTGAAATCTGATTGGCTAGAGAAATTTTTTAGACTGGTATTTTAAATACTGTTGGTTATGCACAGGATTTTTTAATATAAGATTATTTGGCCTGCATTAGCATATTATTTGGCTTATATTAAATATTATCTAGCTTGTATTAACATTAATAAACCAATTTTTAATATTACATAAATATAAAAATAAAGATTAAATTATTATCTTAATTAATTTTCTGGCTAATCAGATTTAAGATCTTGTATAATACAAAAATATGCAAAAAAAAGTAAAACAAAAAAAGCATTCATAGCTCAAAGTTTGCTTATAAGAATGCTTTCTGCATATTAATAAAAAAATTTTCTTATGAAATTTTACTATGGTTATGACTTTTTAAACCAAACATTAACCTACTAGTGAAACCCTAATTCTAAATTTTTTTTTTTTTTTTTTTGTTAAAGCCGATGTTATTGGTAGCTACTGTCTTTATTGTGTTTTTGGTCAATGCATTACATATGACTTGTACAAGGTAAGTGTACAACTAGCCACACATGTAATCTTTGGTTACCTATTTAAGTAGTCTGTCCAAGGGTTCTACACTAGCTGCCATGCCTGTAACCTACTAGGAGGGTACTTATTTAAACACTCTGATCCTTATACTACACCCAGGCGAGTAACACCTGGTTCCCGTACAACTAAGTGCCATCTAACC